CCACCTGTTCTTGGTAGCTATAATGAACCTTATTCTCTAGATAGTTACCTATTGTGGATATTTAATCTGAGTGGGACCTTCGGATCTGGCTCGTTGCCCATAGCATAATGTTTCCAAGGTTCACCCATGTTGTAGCATAGATTAGAACCGCATCCCTTGTTAGGGCTGAACAATATTCCATTACCCCACTTTGTGTATCCATGCCTCTGTGGATGGACACTTGGGTTGTTTCTGCCTTTTGTCTGTTGTGAATTAGGCTGCAGTGGAAATGGTGTGCAGGCACCTGTTTGAGCCTCTTCTTTCAGTTCCTTTGGGCACATAACTAGGAATGGAATTGCTGGGTCCAAGTCTACTAATATTTCGAAATACAGAATTCCTCCCTTTTGGATCCACTGGATCAACACTGTCAGAATTCCATTTCTCAGATCATGTGTTTTGCTTCCTAAAGATTTTACCTCGCATAACATTTCTTGCTAAGCTTAAGTTACACTGGTTAAAATTTGTCTTCTTGAGAGTTGAAAGTCTTTTCCTTACATGAGAGCTGAACAGTAAACTCTGGTCCCATTAATAAGACCGTCGCCATAGGAATTGCTGACTAGGACTATCCACTTGCTACTGAGATGGTCTAGCTGTAGTTTCCAAAGACACACTTCCCTGCCCTTGTGCTTGGGTCCTGCCCTCTGCAGGCATTGCTGATATATTGGGGTTTGATTCTCTCAGCTGAGGTTTTCTAACCCTGGGGGAAGTCTTTGGAAGAAATGCCAAATTGCATTTACATGAACTTGTTGGAGATGCTTTTGATTTTGTGCTTCTTCGAGGGTGCCCCTTTCCTCCAAGGGGTAGTAGTCGGGGCTTTATCTTTATTTCCCATGCATTGTTTTCTGTTTTTCTGACTGCCTTCCTTTCTCTCCTCTGGTTTTTCCACGTGTAGGTTAAAGAGATCACGCGCGATATTAAGCAGTTAGATCACGCCAAACGTCATCTGACCACCTCAATCACAACGCTGAACCACCTGCACATGCTGGCAGGCGGCGTCGACTCCCTCGAGTAAGCACAGTGGGGCCCCAGGAAATGTGCCTTGGGAGGAAAATGGCATTGTGGGTAATTCACTTTCCAACCAGGAAAGGCTCTCCATCCTGCCTTACTTTTTGCTAAATTGCCTCAAGTGTTCAGCCGCCCTTTTTATTTCATGCTCTGAAGTATTCCAACCCATCCCGAAGACCTGAATCTTTGAAGTGAGGTGGAACTGAGCCAGAAGATTCCCTGGAGAGCTTGTGGAAGATGACCCTGAGGATAGGGGTGGCTTTATGGGGGGCGGCTGTATACCATTGAGACAGACAGGGTGATCAGGTCATTATCACTCCCTACAGGTAGCCTGTGCCTGGCAAGTTTTCCTGTATGGATTGGACTGAGTTGAATGTAGCAGATGGAAGCATGTCTTAGATCTTTCCTTCAGTCCCATCTTCCAGACACAGCGACTAGAGGAAGTGTACACAGGAGTGTTAGGAATGGCGTGAGAAGGACAAGGTAGTTACTTACTACAAAGCAGCAATCCCAAGCCTGACCTCACAGCATTTCTGTGGTCTTGTCTGAAATGGCGAATTCCTTCCACCCCAGCCTCACTGCAATCCCTTGTGTGGCCAGAGAGAGACCATCTCCACAGACATCTAGGTCCATGCTAAAGTTGAGGGAGGGGTGAGCCTTGAAGGAAGCAGGAGGGAAGGCCAGACTCATTTCTGATCTCTCGTAGGCCTAGCCTGAGCACCACTAAGAGCAGCAGTCCGTAGGAGACCAGAGGGCCCAGTTCCTTTGACTCCTCCCCCAGTTCCCTCCGTGCTTTCTACCAGACTGGCAGACCAGGCACTGGATGGAACATAATGCCTTGGCTTGAACTTGAGCCTTTCTTTTTAAATGCCACTTACAGGAAGTCATAAATTATACATTTAATTTAAAAGGCCAACCCTAATGAAAAGTTTAGCTCTAAGAGTCTGTACTTCTGTGTTGTTTGAAACTGTTGATTTTGTCAACCTTTCATTTAAGCTTCATTAACCTTAGCAGTAAGGAGCCCCGGTGGCCCAGTGGGTTGCTCTTCGGGGACTGCTAATGGCAATGTTAGCAGTTTAAAGCCATCAGCCATGCCTCGAGAGAAAGATGAGGCGTTCTGGCCTTGCAAAGATGGACAGCCTCAGAAACAATTGGAATCCACTGAGTGGCAGTGAGCTTTTTGCATCTAACTGCCCTTTGCTGTGCTCAAGAAAGCGCGTTAGATTTGTCCCTTGACTGTAATCCTCTGATGATGATAACCGGTTCCGTTTTTTTTTCAAAGGCTTCTTATTTTTTTTTTTTTTTTGCGTTCAGGGGGTTTCTTGTTCTTGTGACCCCAAATGACAGAGTAGAACTGCCCTGTAGAGTTTCCGAGACTATAGTCTTTATTGGCGCAAATCATCAACACTTTTTGCCCACAGGGAGGCTGGTGGGTTCAAATCCCTGACTTTTTGGTTAGCGGCTAACCGCATAACCGTTGGACCATCTGGGCATCCCGTTCTTAAAACCCAACCCAAATGCCCCACCTTCATCTCTCTAGATTCACATACCCCTGGTCCTCTCCCCTTGAGAATCCACCACTCGCTCATCCATTTGAATCCCCTGTCCCACTTTTTCCCACCCCAGTGCGACACCATCATATACATTCAGTGCTCAGTAAATGCGCTTTCAGTCGAGTGGGCGTCTCCTTCTGCACTGAGCAGGGCGCTACATTGACATTCGGTGTCCTCAGTTCTTTCCTGGAGTCTCAGCTCCTTGTTTCCTTCCACGCAGGGCCCTGACCAGGCGAAGACAATATGGAGAAATCGCCAATCTCCTTCAAGGAGTGATGAATGTGCTGGAGCACTTCCACAAGTACATGGGAATCCCACAGATCCGGCAGCTTTCCGAAAGGTAACATCTCCCTGGAGAAGAGGAGTTTCCCGTGAGAATGAAGGTGTTCAGAAGTGTGTGAACACTGGTCTCGGTACAGTCATCACAGTCTTACCATAGGCTGGAGGTGCTCGAACTTGATCGGATGCGGGTCTGCCCTCTGCCGTACCACTAGTAAGGCTGTGTCTTCAGGGTCACGGTTAGCTAGATAGTTTCCTAGCGTCATGGGGATGGCAGCCCGTGAACTGTACCTAAATATGGGCAGCTCCCAGTGGTCCACATCGGTGAGAGAAGCTGTTCCCGTGACCGGTTTTTGCAGAACCACCATAAAATGTAAGGGCTTCAAACACTAAAGAAACCTGCTGCCTGTCTCTGCTACGTGTTGTGTCACTGGGGTGGCTCAAGAGGGGCCTGGGGGTCCACTTTCCAGGGGTTGGCAAGTTCGCCCTCGCTGAGAGCTGGGAGCTCACTAGGCCCGTGGGCAGGCACCCTTGGGTTGTTTTCAATGGGCCGTCTGGAATTCCTCGTGGTGAGAGGGCTGGGTTCCAAGAATAGCTTCTTGGGAGAACCAGGCCTTGGGAGTCAGAATGCTACTTCTGTTAAAGTCAGAAGCCTGCCATGATCCGAAAGGGGGAACCAGTGCCTCCCAGCCCTCAATGGCGGGAGGGATGTCAAAGTTACATCGATAAGCCGAGGTTTTACTGGCAATCTTTGAAAAGGCCAGTCTACCGGAAGAACTTCAAGTGTGGCAGAATGATGACCTGCCGTCTGACCTAGTTATGTGCACTTAAATTTTAGTAGCCATTGGCCATTGCCTTCCAAAAAGCTTTTATTTATTTATAGTTCCATCTGCATAATATCTGAATACCCACTTCCCTGTGCCCAGAAATAACACTTGATACTGTCAGATTCTTTAAAAATCCAAAAGATAAAAAATCATATCTAGTTGCTGTAATTTTCATGTCCCTGAGAACTAGTCCTGTCAGTGTCTTTTCATTTGATTGCTGACCAGTGCGTCTTCTCTGTGAAGTGCCTGTTTGTATCCCTTGCCTATTTTTCATCCCTTTCTTATTGATATGTAGGTATTCTTTCTCTATTCTGGTTTTTAATCTTTTATCAGGTCTGATAAAATTTGCATGCCAGTGTGTTTTTTACAAAATTCTGTATTCACTACAGGGTAAAATGTTTACAATGTTGACTACACTATTTGAACCCTTAATAGTTTGCCTGTTTACCATATTTTAAAAATTATTTTTTACATTATTTTTGATCTGTTAATTTCTAAAGAAAAATTTAATGAAGCTATAATTGAGCTCTATTTCACTCTCTTTTTTTATTTTTTTTGGGGGTGTGGTGGTCATGCTTTGCTGACCAAAACTTAGATGCTATTTATTTGGTATATAAATTAGGTTTGTGACTGTTAACATCCTGTCTTGATCCTTTTTCTGCTTTTTCTTTTGATTTAGATTTTATTTACGAGTATTTTTTAAAAATAGGCTACTATAACATATGTATTCTGATTATTGATATATTTAGAATATTTTATTTATTCCATGCAAACCTAAGAATCCAGAAGGCAGTAACATTGTCTTTTTAAATTCACTGTCCTATCCCTGATATGTAGACTGTTGCCTGGTTTATAGTAGATGGCCAGTAAATATTTATGGAATGAATGGATTGATGACATAAAAGACCCGATGCTTATTTTTACTCTTTCCATTCCCCTTATCATGTTTCATATGTATATCATCTGGTACTTTGTTGCTGGATTGTTATTTAATTGATTTGTTTTTATAATAAGCAGTTACTGTATATACTCGTGTATAAGCCGAGTTTTTCAGCACATTTTTAATGCAGTTTTTATGGTAAAGTTAGGTGCCTCAACTGATATTCGGGTCAGCTTATACTCGAGTATATGTGGTATATAGTCTTAGTCTTAAGTTGTTGCGATCCTGGTAGCAAATACGTTGGGCTACGAACCACAAGGTATATACTCTGTGCTCTGTAAAGAGTGATGGCAGGGATCGCCCGGGACACCCTATAAGGAACAGCTCTCCACCATTAGTGCTTCAGAGGCTCACAATGAGCAGAATGCAGTGGTTTGGCTTGCTTTCATTCAGTATGCTGTATTCTTTCTCCTCGTACAACTCTTATCACAATCCATACCCATCATTTATTCTCACAGCCCACTTTTCTTTCTTGGGTGTGTTCATTTACTTTTATTCTTGCTGAAATATCTCCTCCAGTGATTCTATGAGAGGGGGTTATGTGGATGGAAAATCCCGTGTTCAAATCTCCTTTATATTCACACCAGAATAATAGTTTGGCTGGACACAGAGTTCTACTTTTAAGACGTGTTCTGTTAGCACCGTGGAGACTCGTCGACCGCGTGGCATGCAGTGTTGCCTACTAAAGCCTGAAGTCAGTGTGGTTCTTATTCCTTTGTAAGATAATCTGCTCTCGCGTGGCTCTGTGTGCTGGAGAAGCATTTTATAAGTTGGCAGCAGTAAGGAATCCAGGCTTTTACGCTCTGCGCTTATTTGTTGTGCCTTCATCTGAAGACTCACGAGTTACTGAAGACGTTTCTGGGACCTTCTGCTCGTTTATTCCTCAGGGTAGTCTCTCTGTTTTGTTCCCTCTAGTCTCGCATTTCAGAATTCCTATCACTTGACTGTTGGAACTTCTAGACCGAGTGCATGCCAGGTTTTTCTTTCGTATTTTCCATCTTTTGGGCTGCTTTCTGAGAGAATTCCTCCGCTCCGTCTTCCTGTTTTAATCTGCTCTTCAGTTGTGCCTGTTCCGCTCGTTGGCCCAGCTGTTGGGTCTTTATTTCAACAACCTAAGTTTTTCATGTGCCGGATATCTAGCTGATTCTTTTTTCACAGGAATAATATCCTCTTAACTCTCTCAGAGACCGTATGTTTTATTTCTGTTAAAGCTCTGAGTGGCCTGCTTGCCTTTCTTTCCTCCGATTCAAGCTCTCTCTTTAGTGTGTCGAGCCTGGGACCCTTAGGATTAGTCAGCTGCCGTCGAGCTGACCCTGACTCATGGCAACCTTATTTATGCACCGTGGAATGAAACCTCGGCCAGCCCTGCCCTGTCATCCTCACACTCACCAGCAGGTTTGGGCCCTTTGTGATGACTGGGCCTGCCCACCTCACCGAGTCTCCTATCCCTTCACCGGCCCTCTGCTCCAGATGTTCTCCTCTAGCCCTTGAGCCTT